TAGACTTTCAGTTGTTCAAGTGAGTTGACTCCCAACCATTTTTTTTCGGTTGTACAGTTGGTGAATTCTATGTTCTTATGGGTTTTTCCTGATTCTTGAATTAGAGCAACATAAACAAGCGATAGTAATTGATGTAAAACGAAGTTGTAAAACTAATTCCTTTGAAATGAATTTTCTGTTTTTTGGGGTGTGCCTCAGCAGTATTGCCGTTTTGATAGCAATTCAAGCCATTTCAAGCGATTTGACACGATATGGTTGTTTAAGAAATCCTTTTCTTACCTTCTTTTAGTCATGTACTTTATATAATATATACTTATATATTTTTAGAACTCATCAACAAATTTGGCTTGAGCTTAGAATTTTTGAATTTTATCTTAGCAACTGATTTTTTTTCTTTTTTTTGGCAGTTGCTACGGTGCCCGATGGCTTAAAGGCATGAGAATTACTGAAGGGAAGACCACACGATGTGGGTCTCATATTGATAGAAGTGGATCTGCCTTCAATATCTGGGTTTCCACTGCTAACACTGATTATGGAGCATGAAGTTTGCAAAAACATTCCTGTTATAAGTATGTTTACTTAAATTAGGTGCTTGTGCAGGTCTCAAGCAGTGGTTGGGCTGAAGGTGAATGTAAGGGAAAAGCCGGTTGGTTCCCATTTAACTATGTGGAAAGGCGAGAACGCTTGCGACCAAGGTGGCTGAAGTCTTCTGAGGTTACCCAGTACTGGAGCTTTTCTTACCTTTGTTTTTATCAGAAATTTTCGTCTCTTCTGTTGGTAATCTAGTGGTAATCTTGGAGTTGGATTTGACTTGTCTTGTTAATTGGTTTTATTTGAATGAGCCGCAAATACATATGTGAATGTGGCTACGTAGTTGTGAATGGTGTAACTAGTCTTTGTTTTGTTTATATGTTAAATGGTGGAAGTTTTAGTTGAGTTTGGTAATTATTTTGATAGTGGATCACTTTCTTACAGGTTAAACAGTGGAGATGACTTTTTTGTGGAAGCATTTTGTCAAGATGGAAGGATTTACTTCACCATTGCACTTAGACATTTTGGAGATGACTTCTCTGTTTTCTTTATTTGTTTTGAATGTTAAGGTTTTGGACACTGTATGAATTATGTTGTACACGTAATTTTATTGACAGCTTGGTAGATACTGATAACAATTGATATGTTGAATGTTTTTATGTTTTAATTTGAATGTTCCTATTTAGATATATCACATATTTCGGAATTACCATTTATTTAAATGAATTCAAAAGGATATCAATAATAATTTTAAAAAGTTACAACAGTATGAACATAATAAGGAAAAAAAGTTATTAATCTGTATCGTAACTATGCTAAAGAGCTGTAAGAGGATGAAAATAACTTTTCTTACACGCTATAATACTTCAATTCTATAGCGTTTTTTATAACTCTCCTAAAACGCTATGTTTTCTTAGGATCTATAATAGCGCCCGCTGTCCTAGCGCTCTAAAAAGCGCTATTGATAGTGATTAATAGCATTTTTCGTCAATTACGAAAGGCCTTTTGTGGTGTAGTGTATATTTGGTCTACCGTTGTCAATAAAGATTATTTAGCTGTAACCGTCGGATTTAATATATAATACTATTTTAAATGTAATTGATGAATTTAGATTAAGAGATAAAGTAATGGCTATAACATTAGATAATAGTAGTGCTAATATAAAAGCAATTGAGTTCTTTGAAAATGATTTAAGTTTATTCGGTGACTGTACTATTTTTCACCAACGTTGTGCATGTCACGTAATTAATTTAATTGTTAAATCCGGTTTAAAAGAAATGGGTAATCACATTAAAAGAATTAGAGATAGTCTTGTATTGATTCAAGATAGTAACCAAAGACAAGAAGATTGGTTTAGGTTCTTACAAGCATTAAAGTTAGTGGAACATATTACCCAACATCACCTTTAGCTTTAGGATAACTTTTACGAATTAGTATTTTATTTAGCGAATATATGGAGGACCCAATCCTAGCAGTTTCTATCCATTCTATAGAAAAAAAAATTCAAAAAATATTAGTCTAAGTTGCCTTTGTTGTATGGTTTAGGTACTATTTTTTATCCTAGATTAAAATTAGAAGGTTTAGAAAGTGGTTTAGAAAACTTAGGTGAATTTTTAGGCATCAATTGTTCGGACCAATATCCAATAATAAAGGAAAAAATATATTCGATCTATAGTAAATATGATATTAGGTTTAGAGTACCTCTTAGAGTACAGGAACCGCAACAACAAGACGAAAACCTGCATTCATTCTTGAATATTTTCGGGTTGAAGAAGAAGAAGAAGACAACTCAAACTGAAGCTGGGAGTGAATCTTTGTCAACAAGTGGCAGTGGCAGCGGGGGGGGGAGCTTCAACGAGCTTATGGCGTACCTCAGTGAAGGCTTAGTAGTCGACGGTACGGCAGAATTAATTGACTTAGTTCAATGGTGGAGGGCACGGGCATTAACTTGGCCAATCCTAACTCAATTGGCAATGCATATATTTTCGATCCTAATCTCTACTATTTCATCCGAACAAGCCTTCAGTACGACAGGAAGAATACTTGAGGAACGCCGGAATGCATTGCAAAGGGATATTGTTGATGCTTTAGTTTGCATTAAGGATTGGGATCGGGCCGATCAACGTCTACAAGATACAATTTCACCGGTAAACCAAGAATATTGCATGTAGTGGAGGTGTTTTGTGCGTGGAATGGGCGTGGGAATCATACACTAAAGGATTACATAATCTATTTGCCATAATTGGAGAGTGTTGGACAGATTTCACTTGCCATTTCTGATCCAACAAATTGCGTGGAGGAGGCTGCTAAAATTGCAGCCCTTAGTTGGCGAATTGAATGGTCAAAATTGCCTTACAAAGAAGTTTCTATGTTTTAGCCTTGTTGACTTTCCTTAATTTGGAAAATGGTGTGTTTTGTAAAAGTTTAAATTTTTTTTTTTTTTTTTTTTTTTTTTTTTTTTTTAGTGCTAGGCAGGCAAGAATTTAATTGTCATAGGAAAAGTCTTTTTTGTTTGGTGGCTGATATATGAAATCGGCAAGAACAACTTGGATTATTTGACTTTTGAAATTACAACTCTTGTGAGGTTTTTGCTTCCTCTTTGGTTCTTCATTCAACTTCCGAACTAATTAAGGTTGTCACCTTGTGGCGTTCAAACTATAGTTAATGTTCTTGATTCATATAATCATAGGGTGGAGTTCTTTTTTTTTCTTTGCAACTTTAGTTCTTGTTTGATAATCAACGGGTCGGGTTCTTTATAACTTCGGTTCTTGGTTGATAAACATCAAGTTAAAGTTTGTTCATTCCATTACAATTCTGATTTTTAGTTCCTTGGGCAATTTTTCCACGGCAAGTCCGTTGTGGATCGCAGTACTA